GACTCGCCAGCGCCCGACGTCATCACGCGCCCGTCTCGACGGCAGTCGCCAGGATGTACTCCTCTCTCCTGACCACCAGGGATCGCTCCGCCGGTCGCAGCAGCCCACTGCCTCCGCTGCCGCCGCCGCCGTCTCGCCGCGCCACGTCACCTCCGATTCTCTGGAGCCGATGTCTCGTTGCCGCCGCCGTTATCACCATTGTCCTTAATAAATGAACCCCCCCCCCCCAATTGGGTATAGGAGTTGTAACACTGAATTTAACATAACTTATATAACTTTTCAGGAGCTGCGGTGGCTCAAGTGGTTAAGACGCTGAACTGCAGGCTGTGGAAGGTCAGTAGTTCAGCAGTTCGAGACCCGGGTGCCGCATGACGGAGTGAGCTCCCATCTCTAGTTCCAGCTCCTGCGAACCTAGCAGTTCGAAAGCAAGAAATTGCAAGTAGATAAATAGGTACCACTTCGGTGGGAAGGTAACAGCGTTCCGCGCGCCTTGGTGCTTAGTCATGCCGGCCACATGACCACGGAAACGTCTTCGGACAGCGCTGGCTCTTCGGCTTTGAAACGGAGATGAGCACCGCAACCCTAGAGTCGGATTCGACTGGCTTTCAAGCAAGGGAACCTTTACCTTTATATAACTTTTCAACATACAGTGAAACAAAAGTAAAATGTCTGCATTATTGCAATCAGATATGCTAGAGGAATCATCCTCTGTGGGATTAGATATGTGGGTGTAATTGCCTGTCAGCTACCCAGTTCAGCTTTTTTAGCAGGTAACCTTGGGGAAACCACTGGCTTAGATTTCCAAGGATGGAAGGATTTCTGTCCATGGAGTGTGACTTTCTTCCCTCCCCTCCCCTGCTGCAGCCAGAAATTCTCCCCAAAGTGCTGTTCCAGGGGAGGGAGATCTTCTGTCCCATAGCAACAGCATTTCGTGGGGGCATTTTGAGCTGCCACAGGAAGCAGGAAGTCCCTTCTGTCCATAGGAGCACCCCACTGGGTCTACGCCACTGTCTTGCCCCCGGGAACGTTAAGAGTGAAATGCAGCACTTCTTGTACCTCACTTTTGTGCCCTGAGCTGCTGAAGACACCAGTTCAGTGATTCCACTACACGTGCAGGGGGTTTTATGTGCGTGAAGAACTCTTGTGTTTTCAAAAGCTCTCCGTTCTCTTCTTTCGGGCTGGGGAATGTTCCGTTCACACTCCAGCAGGAAATGGGGGGAATCGGTTGCATCACAGAACAGGATACCCTACCCTACCCTACCCTCCCCCTTCCGTCTGGCAAGTCTTGTAAAAATTGGTGAGCTGCTCTTTCGGTTATAAGCTTCTGTGCTTATAACTCAACTTTTCATCAGGCCAGATAGAAATAACAGCTAAATCTCGGCTTTATGAAAAGCAGAGTTCCATCCGTCACAGGCTTTTAAGCCCCTGAATTATGAAAGCAGTTCCCGGTGTTAATACAGTTCAAGGCAGACTTAGTTTAAACTTTCCAGGGCTTGTGTTCTCTTGGAAGCGACACGGGTACCTTGCTCTTGACTGCACCTGTTTCCTGGGGTCAGTTGGCTAACAGTCTGCGACACAGAACTGCAAGTCCCCGTTCTCGCTTCACCTTGCAGAGCCCAAAGAGTGAAAGGGCATCGGATGCCGTTACTTTGTCAAAGCTGAGCAGGCCTGTTTCTCCCGCATGTTGGAAGAAATGCGGAGGTGTGGGAAATTATGTTCATTGTTGGCTTGAATGCCCGAAACTAGAGCTGTTTTGGAAAGAAATAATAACTCAGGTTAAAAATATAACTGGTTATGAATTACAATGCACAGTGGAACATATACTATTAAATAGATGGCAGATGCATATACAATCTAGTAGTACTATGAAAAGGATAGCCATTTTGTTGGCAGCAGCCAAAAATGCAGTAGCCTTATTTTGGAAAGACACTAAAAGTCCTCAACAACATAATTGGCATGCTAAACTTTGGAAGTTCTATATAATGTCAAAAATAACAGAAAATGTAGATGGAAGAGATGTATACAAATCTTCTTTAGATCGTGCTATGATTTGGTTCCCTGTTGTGAATTATTTAATGGATCAGGGTGAAATCCCTACTACAGTTAGTGACTTAAACCTATGGTAAGATGTGAATGTCTCATTGATCTGAAAAATGTAACCTGATACTGTAACTTTGAAAATGTAATACTCTTTTTAGCAACTCTAGCACTCTTTTCCTGTATACTCCAACTTACCTGTTTTGTTAATTGCTACTTTTCTTTGCATTTATTAATAAAATGTTATTTAAAAAAAAAAAAAAGCTAAGCAGGCCTGAGTCTGGTCAGGACCTGAATCTCCAGCTGCTTGGAAGCTCCCTTCGAGCTGCTTCAGGCTCCGCAGTACCTAGCTGCTTAATAAGTCAAGGCTGTGGTGAAAAACGATGCTCTCTGAGTGCTCTTGGGCCAGTCACCATCACTCTGTCTAGTCTAAGCAGGATAAAATGGGGTCGCTCTCCGTGTGCCCCCTGAGCTCCGCACAGAATATGTGATCACGTCCATGGAAGCATATTTGTTTAAAGGTCATCTGAGGAGGCCCTTCTGTCTTCCAAGGGGAGGAAGGGGCGAGTGCTAGAAAGGGGTTCTGTTTGGGTGTTGCCCCTTTGCTGTGAGATGCTCTCCCCAAAGAGGCCCACCAGGCTCCTTCGCTGGAAAAGCAGTGAAGCCGAGAGCATCACCAGGACTCCAGAGGATGCTGTTCTTGTTTTCGCTAGTAGTCGGCTGCGGTGGTTGCTCGGCTGTCTGTGAAGGCATGGCTTTCTGTCTGCTCTCTGCTGATGGGATAGGAGCCTTCATTGAATACATCCCTGGTGACAGCCAAGGGAGCCCTGTTATCTTTGGGCAATTTAGAGCTCGGCTGGCAGGGGGGGCTGCAGCTGTTGTTGTTTTCCCTGTAATGGCTCTGCCGCTCTGTAGGGCGCTAGCAAAGAGCCTCCGTTCCTCTGCAGAGTGGGGTTTATCCAAGATTTGAGCTCCGCAGGATCTGATTAGGGAGCGCGGTGTGTGTGTGTGTGTGAGAATGTGCCTTTATAAAGAACAATTGTCTTCCAAATCCTCTTCCTGCTCGATGAGAAAATTTATTTGTGGCCACAGAGGCCACTTGTACTTTTATGAAAATGGAGGTCAGGGATGATTTGGAGATCAAAAGAGTAAGAAAGAAGTCTTGATCAAGCCTTCTTTCTTACCCTTGTGGTTCTTGATTCCAGTTTTTGGGTCAAGTTTGTTTTCCCCTCCCTGCGTTTTACTGATTTGGAGATCAGTCAGCGCTCCAGCAGTATCGGGGCTCTTCTGCGTGTGGTGACAATGTCTGTAGATGGGACACTTTTTCTTCACATTTTGGTAACTCGAGGTCAAGCTGTGTTCAGGCCTTGAACCGGGCATGTGCCTCCATAGTAAGAAACTGTGCGGCTCCCCCCCCCCCATGTTGCATCTTTCTCCCCCTGACTGAAAGCCTGGAGTACTAAGTGTGTCTTTAAGACGGTGATTTAGGAGGTGTCTCAAACTGGGGTTTAATAAAATCCTTTTTTCCTATGCAAATATATGACTCTCTTAACCTACACATCCCTGAACTACTTAGCTCCTAGCTCAGTGGTAGAACTCAGCCTTAGTGTTCAGAAAGTTCAGTCCCCCGATTATTGCTACTTAACAGCTCTCGGGTGACAAGGCTAGGTAAAGATAACTACGCTTGAGGCCCTGGAGAGCCAATGTCACTTGGAGTAGAGAGCACTGAATTGGGGGGGGGGGGGGACCAGTGTTCACACTTTGTATGCTCATGGAGTCCTAACTGTAGACCCTTATTGCACCTTCTGCAATTGACTGCAAAGTACACTTTTGAGTATACTGTCTGTGCTCAGAGTCAGGATATTGGGAGATCTATGATGAGATTCTCCCAAGGTTTGCACAGTGATGTTAATAGCCCTTGATTCATCTTTGAGTTGGAAGATCAAACTAATCAGAACAGACACACTGTGTTGTTAGCCCTGAAAAGGAAAAAGACAGACCACTTGGGTCTTTTTGGAAGCTGATTACTGCACCAGAAGTGGAGAGGGTGATCCATGATACTGCACGACGAGTAGGTTTTAAAACCCTTCTGTCTCCCCCCTCTCTGAATTGGGCCCTGTGTTCTTGATATTCGCATTTTTTAGAAAACTGGGAGGGTCTCTCTGTTTTGTGCACACATTGGATCAGCATTTGAGTCATCCTTGTTTTCACATGAGCAGCTTTTCAACCCAGAACCATCACACTTTAGTGATAAAATACTGGAGATGGGTGGCATAAGTGGATGTCCCCTGCTTGGCCATGAACTTACTGTATAGCTTTAGGCCAAGTCACAAAAAGCCAAATTCTCCCCCCCTTGAATTTTCCCATGGGGGGGGGGGGGGGGGGGAACTGTACAAAAAATTGGATATAACTGACTGCCACTTATCTGTAATGCCCCCCCTTTCGCCTCCATTTGAGGTGCTGTGATACTATGGAATGTTAAGAGACATTTTTGGTGAGGGGAAAGGTTGCTGATAGAAAGCATTGGAGCTGCTGTGAGATGTGGATGGTTGGTTTGAGTGGGGAAACATGCCATAGAGAGTTTAAGGAATGGAATAACATATGGCTCAAGGACAGGCAGTTAGCTGGTTGACACAGAAAGAGAGATGGGAAAGGAGAGTTGAAGACACCGGGAGATGGTAGAGATAGCAAAAGGATCTGTGTGCTGCTTGAGGCAAATAGGTAAGAAATCCTGAAGGGCCCAGTGGCTGAAAATAAATAAATACATTTATTTATTTATTATATTTTTATATCACCTGTTCTCTGAAACAGGGCTCAGATTTAACCTTTGGAAGTAGGGAGTCCATTTGGATTCTTTTGTACAGCACTCTCTTACTAGACTTGATTTTTTATTTTTTTGGAATCTTAATTTCCATTGCCAGTACATTCACTGATCAATTTGTCCTTTTGGTTTTTGCTTGCAGGTGTGGGCACCAGGGATTACTACCGGAAGATCGGCTATGAGCTGGAAGGACCTTATATGGTGAAAAAATTGGACTGAAGGATTTAGCCAGAAACATTTTGAAGGCCTGTCTTTGCACCATTAACCCTGCCCAGGTGCAGTGCTGGGAGGACACAATCTCTTCCCACTTGGGGCACAACCATTGGTCCCCAGTCAAGATCATTGGATTGCGAAGATCTCTGGTCTTCTTGAGGCCCCTGTTGGAGTCCCAGAATCTTTGCAGGGACTCCCCTAAATGACCTGCCCTTTGCCTTGAGCACGGCAGAGGCCACTTGACCTTTGCTACCCTTCCCTTATTACTCTCCACAAAAAACAATGTTGCCTTTGATTGCAGGCCCCATTGTATTCAGTGTCCAGCACCAGCAGTGAAGTGGAGATCACCCTCTGCAGCAGCTTGGCACCCAGTCTGGAACGTCCGTTTTAATGTTCGGTTGTGTCTCCATTTTACATCGGCTTGTTTTTTACTCTTAATGATAAATCCTGGTTTCATTTAGGGTTCATAACACCCTGCTTTTATCTGCAATGCCCTTGAAAAAGGGCTAGAGCCTTTCTGTTCAGATATTTAACACCTTGCACTGGGCTAGCATGTGGTCTAGCCAATTGTTTTTCCATTGAGAACTTGTTGGGGGAAAATAATCTTTTGAAGTTATTTATATCTGACAAGCATCCCTCTAAGATAGGAGTTCTTGTTCGGTCTCTTGTCAGGCTTCTCCTCCCAAGGTTATGTGGAATCCTGACACACTTGCTTTTTCTGCAATGTGGGAACTGTAGAGTGTGATGTAATAAAGGACTATGTTGGAGTTTTGTACTTTTCCTTGTTAAGAAACTGCAGATCAGAATCCTGCAGCCAAACATTAGCCATATTCCCCTGTTGCCGGGGAGAATCTGCTTGAAATCTCAGTGCAGAATTCTTTCGGAATTTTTTTCCAATGGTGAACAGGAAACAACAAAGTGAACATCAGTTATAAACATTTTTATTAACCAGAACATTGCACTGACAGGCATTGTCCCACAATCTCTGCCTAGAGCTTTTTTTTTTTTTTTTAAGCAAAAGAAGAAGATGCACTATCACTCCTGGTTGAATTAACTGAAGTCTGCATTTGGAAAAATCTCTGACCACAGCCTTGTCCGGAGTGCTTCTGTGATCAGAGTCAAAGGCTTCTTGGAGATCTTCATGGAGGCAACTAAATTAAGGGTTGAATCCATGGGCAGCCTTCTGAAATAGGTATCTTGTCCTGTATAGACCTGCTTGTAGTAATAAAGCATGGCTTTCACAGCCCACTTGTGATTAGCATCTAATGGAATGGGACATTGGGGTCTCAGCTGCAGAAGCAAGAGTTTCACAGTACATGAATCGCAATGATTCTCTTCTGTGTTCTTGGAGATGCTTTCCACCATGTGTTTTGGAGATGCCGAAGACCTTGTAAATGTTGCATCTGCCTCAGATTTCTTTTTAAAATGTACAGTGGAGTGTGTTAAGGAAGTCGCAGCTGCGCTTAGCAGAACCACAGATTTCACAGACGAGAATGAGAACCCACAAGCAGAACCTTGGATGAGGTTTATAGCCCAAATGGTACAGTACGTGGTTGCTTTTCTTCCGGTCCCTGGCATCTCCAGTTTTAGAAGGGTCAGTGGCCTGACATGCTCTAAAGTGGCCTCATATGCATTTTGACAAGCGTTCTGGCTTTATCGGCTGGGAAGTGGCCCTGTGCTGATGCCATCTCTTCCGTTTCCAAAGGGCTGGGTAAATAACAGTCTTTAGTAGCCTCCATAGATCCTTGCAATAATTGGCTTGTCTTCTAAAGACTGATCTCTCCTAAATCACCAATTGCTCCGTTGTCACTGTCCACCCCCCACCCCCACCCCATTTCTCTTCAGAGCCAGTCCCCTTGTGACTTTCTATCTGTGCCTCCTAACAAAGGGGGAAGAAAGCTTTTGCCTGAACAAAAGTGAACGGGGAGGCCTTGACCCATTTGACATCAGGGAGGCAACAGAAGGGGAAGCGTCCTTTTCCTTCCCTGCGAAATGTTGTCGAGGCTGCTGTTTGGGCCGAAGCACTGGAGCGCGGCAGCTCATTTTAGTGGGGGCCAAAGGCCACAGTTTCTTTCACTGTTGCTCCAGCTCACTCTTGATGGGTTCTAATGTGTGGTTAAAAAAAAATTGTAGCTCTTGGCACTGTTGCTGGAATAAGTGTCCTTTTGTTTTCCTGAAAGTGGAACATGACAGGAGAGACCCCGTTACTGTAGAAGGTGTTCAGGGCACTTTGACATGGCAACACTTTCTCTGGTACTAAGGTGTAAAACAAACCACATGGACGCCTCTCATTTCAGTGGGTTCAGCACAGAATGTCCCCAAGTTGGAATATCAATAGAGGGCTTTTTATATACTACGTGAAATAGTCTTGGAGCCATTTGGGAAGTCTTTGTCCCGCACCTCAGCCAGGGATGCTGAAGGGGTCGGGATGTTGTGTGAGAAATCCAGGTTAATTTTGGTGTCCAGTCCAGCTGGGACTGGATGTTCCCCAAAATGTGCCAGCCTCAAGAAGTCCAAGATAACACAGGATGGAGATGTTTAAAGCAAATTTGTAAATCATTAGCTTCTATTAATTTTGCAGATGACCAAAGAAGTACTGATCAGGGGTAGTCAGGAGGTCACTCAGGAGTAACCAGTCACACTCCAGGCAATTAAAAATACTTCTCCCCCCCCCCCCCCCCCCCGCCAGTGCTGCTGCCATCACTTTCTTATTCTTCCCATTAGAGCTACTGCAGCAGCTTCTCACCTCTTCATGCAGAGGAGAAGCAGGCACACACAAACATGCTCTGGATGGGGAAACGACAGTGCCAGTATCCTTTCCTATCTACCAGTTTGGTGTAGTGGTTAAGTGTGTGGACTCTAATCTGGGAGAACTGGGTTTGATTCCTCACTCCTCCACATGCAGTTGCTGGTGTGACTTTGGGTCAGTCACAGTTCTCTCTGAGCCAGTTCTCGAAAGAGCTCTCTCAGCCCCACCTACCTCATAGGGTGTCAGTTGTGGGGAAGGGAAGGGAAAGGAGGTTGTAAACCACTCTGAGTCTCCTTCGGGTAGTGAAGGGCGGGGTATAAATCTAATCTCCTTTTCCTTCATGCATGCACTCACAGACACCCTTGCTCTAGGCAGGAAAGGAACATGCTCAGTTGACTCCCTTTGCATGAAAGCTGCTGTTTGTTTTTTCCAGGGAAAACAGAGGTAACTGTCTATTTTCCTAGCCAGGGCAAATTGCAATAAGGTTTGAGTGGGCAGTCTGAAAACAGTAGTGGAAAGATTTCCCCATCCAAACATTGCAGGCCTACCCTGAAATGGCTGTGATTTTTGTACAAGCGGCCATTTTGCAACTGCTGGCTCCCAAGGCTCTTAAAGAATATGACGGCACTCCCAGATGCACAAAGCCTGTCCTCTCTGTGGTGTAGTTTATATTCAGAACTTTGAGATACAAAATTATAACTCATCCAGCTTTTGGTCTCCTAAGCACCAAAGAGGTTCGTGTATGCTTTCTTGATATCGTGGCTGAAAGAGTTACTTAAGCAACAAGTTAACAAACAGAACCACATGACAGTAATGAAGGACACAGACATGGCTCTAGCTTCGTATACTTGGCGAAGCTGTTAGAATAGACATGTAGTTTATATACTAAGTTACTACAAAAGATCCATGGCAAAAAAAAAAAAAGCAGCAGTAGTTTGGGTCCGTGACTTGTGTTTCCCTGCCTTTACAGCAGAAAATGCAGCCAGGAATCCAAGAAGCATGATTTAGTATATTTAGGAAGACTCGGCTGTAAAGATGACTGGAAAGCATAACCTTACATGGATCCTTGGTTTATGACAAAGCAGAACAAGCCTTGGCTCTGTCGTATCCATTCAGCGTCTGGCATGAAACAAGAATTTTTTAAAAAAAAAAACACAGTCACAACGTGTAATCTTTACCTTGTAGAAAAGAAGGTAAATGGGCTCAGCTAGGCAAAACTTAAGGGCATTACATGGAAATTCTTTCACCAAGTGCTTTATTGGTACCTCCGTATGACACCATTTTGTACTTCTTTTGTGAGAGAGGGCTTTTCAGCCCTTCATTAGACCCTGTCTGTGTTCATGATTTGAACACATGAACTCATGTGGCTGCTTGATATCATTGGTTCATCTAGCCCAGTATGATTGCGGTGGAGGAGTGGGGGGGGGGGGCCTGAATTGCTGATTGCTGCCTGCCACTAAACACTTTTGATTGCCTTCCCCTGCTGCTGCTCCTAGAGGGGATCTGTGTTTCTCAGAAGTGGCATTTCAGGGGCCATTGTGGGCAACAGCAGGAGGGAGGAAGTAGGGAGGTCCCACTCTTAGGGTTACCAGAAGTCTTGTTTTTTGGTGTCTGTCCTCTTTTGGGCTCTTTCTAAAAAAAAACTGGTGAAAATGTCCTCTTTTTGGATTGGAAGGTTAAGAACATTCCTAGTTAGTAGCAATTATCACAGCTTAAATAGTAGGGGTATTGAAAATGAGATTTGTCATATTGATCGCTTGTTTGAAGTCGTCAGTCAGGAAATATGTCCTCTTCTTTGCTTTTCAAAATATGGTAACCCTGCCCACTCTGCTGAAAGACATTGCAGTGGAATTTACTGTTGGGTTCCTGCTATGAGCCCATTCACATTGGCAGGGGCTTTCCAGCATCTCAGAAAAATGGTTTCCCTATCACCTGCTTTCTGGTCCTCTTAATGGGAGGTAACAGAGATTGAAGTGGAGACCTTTTGCATGACAAGCAGGTGCCCTTCCCCTTTTATTCTCTTTCATTTGCTTGTGCAATAATGTCCTGCAATATGTCTTAACTAGGAATAAGGCCTGTTGTGGAAATACATACAACAAGCTCTAGAAAGAGGCTCTGGGTGGGTGCCCTGGTCTTTGGCACTCAGCGTCAATTTGCTGTGGTGACCTCAGCAGGGTATAATGACACAGAGCTTACCGTTTTCTTCAGGGGAACTGATCTCTGCCATCTGAAAAGCAGTTGTAATTCTGAGTTATCTCCAGTCCTCCCCTGGAGATTGGCAACAGTGGTTCCCCAGGAGGAAATGGCTGGTTTGGAAGGTAGAGTCTATGGCATTGTACCTGTCTGAGGTCCCACCCCTCCTCAAACCCCACCCTGTCCAGGCTCCACCCCTCAAATATCCAGGAATTTCCATACCTAAAGTTGGCAACACATCCCCAGCACTTTGAATTAGCACCAGAGTTTTAAGAGCTCTCCTGCTATCACCTGGAAATTGGCAACAGCTTGTTTGGAGGGTGGGGTCTATGGCATTGTATCTGTCTGAGGTCCCCCTCTTCCTCCTCCTCAGACCCCACCCTCAGCAGGCTTCATCCCTAAAATATCCTGGAAGTTTCCAACCTGGAGCTGGCAACCCTATGTCCTTTCCAGGAAATCATCAGCCTACCTTTATCTGCCTGTCTGGTTTCAGGTTTACATCACCCCCCCCTTGTAGCCTCTGCTTAGGGAAATGGCAGTCTTTTCCTACAGTGGGAACCGAAGCAGCTGACATCATTCTTCTCTCCCCTGTATGATCCGCACAACAACCCTGTGAGGTATGTTAAGGTAGAAAGTCTGTGAATGGTCCATAATCCCCCAGGCAGCTTTTATAACATGAACCTGGGACCTGCACACCATCCTTTGAAGCACTCTCAGGTACATATCTGTGGCAGTAATGGGGTGACTGCTGGCACCTTTTCCTATC